ATAAAACCTTTTTAAATACAAACAAACTGTCAACAGCCAGTCGGAGAGAAAACACCAGGAGTCCTGTTAAACAGAACCTTCATACATGGATCTGCTGAGTAAAGTGGAGGCAGAAAGTCAGAAAACCAAAAGAAGGAGGTTTGGCAGAGGTGGAATGCACAGCAGAATGACAGAAGCTTAACCGTGGTCTGAGCTGTGATTTTCATCTTCACAAAAGAAAAGGGTGAGACGGGGGGCAGGGGGGGCTGTCACAAGCACAAAAACACAAGAGAGGAGAAGCAAAAACAATCAAAATGCTAATGAGAAGGCCTGGAAGGAATGATAAAGGTATCGGGACAGGAAACGCTGAGGTACAGGCTCTGAAATAAAGTTATCTAGAAACAGTGAAGAGCGTGCGTTTTTCATTACCTTCATCTTCCTCTGTGTTTGAACGCAGCATGCAAACATGCAAGTAAAGAGAGGAGGTTAGAGACGTCAGGGAAAACTCACAGCAGCCATGTTTCATTCTGAACCAAAGGTTCTGAACCAAAGGTTGGACACCACTTACTGAAATGATTTCATGATTAACATTCTGTCTACATGAGCGTATTTATCCAGAGCTGACCAGTGATACAACTGAATCACTGTCTGTGGCTTCATAAAACATTCACATCTTCACTTTTAGCAGATGAGTTATGTTGCAGTCTGACGATACACATGTTCATATTAGGGGTGTCTCTACTAACTGGCTTTGTCTCTACTAACTGGCTTTGTCTCTACTAACTGGCTTTGTCTCTACTAACTGGTTTTGTCCCTGACCCAAGTCGTTTCAACAGCAGACGGATGAACAGAGCCTGAACCACTGAACCATGCACACGTTTGAAGATTACGTTCCACAAGAACTGCAACTTCTGGTGTATAAGACGCTAATTTTTCCACAGGCGTTGAACCCTGTGGCTGCAGCTAATTTTTATTTATTTATCTACAGGCAGGAGCTGGAACACCTGGAGAGCAGCTGCAGGAAGAACAATCTTCACATCATGTGAAGAAGACGAAGGGGATGGTCGTGGACTTCAGAAGGAACAAACACACCTACCCCCCCCCCCCCCTCCCCAACATAAGAGGATCTGTGGTAAAAGTGGTCTCCAGCTACAAGAACTTGGGTGTGCACCTGAACTGAACTGGAGGTCTCCAGCAAAGAGGCTGGACTCTCACTCACTGGTTGGATGAAACCAACACTGAACAGTTCTGGTCCGACTGATTCTACAGGTTCTGTCTGGAAACATACAGGCACCTCTCACCACAGTGAAGCACGGTGGTGGAAGCATCATGCATTTGGGAATATCCAGCTCATCAGTCCTTGAATGATGTCAAACATCTGGAAATGGTTCCAGCTGCAGTCCCCATCCACTGCCAGCCCAGATGTGCACGCCCTCCCCCCAGCTCAGTAAAGGAGGTGAATACT